CCTATTCATCCCCCCCTCCCCCCTCGACTGCCAGGGATGAATGAGATTTACTGCCCCTTAATATAAAGCCCTTTCTGTAGTTTATAAACAACGTTGCCGCTTAGTGGGAGGTTGGACATTTTAGTTCATTAAGCGGCAAATAATCTCTGTCTCTTTTTATTTTTAAGTTTATTTACACGTAGGGTTAGGTTTTTTTATCCCATTCCTCCTCCTCCTCCTACCACCCCCCCCCAGCCAGCAGAAGCAGAGTGAATGTGCACACACTGAAACACTGAGCTCACTCCTCCGATGGCCTTTCGCCAAGCCACTAAAATAATCCTGTTTATGTATCAAAAACGGTCCTTACAGTAAGAAGAAATTTATTTCTGCCTGAAAACCAGGCGTGGGTGAACGGGGTGTCGGAGCAGCGCTGCAGGGGCACAGAGGAAGGCTCAGCAGCCGTCCTGGGCACCAAGGATTGAGTCCTGGGGGAAAGCCAGAGACACCAGCAGTGACCCCCCAAGTCCCAGCGTGGGACACGGCAGGGACAGGGCTGCCAGCAGCGTTGGAGACCCCAGAGCGTGGCACATGGAGATGCCCAGTGGGAACACAAACCAGACCACTTGCCTTGGTTTAGAGAAGAAGACCTTTTCCTTGGCACTACCCTGCACATCAGCCTAGAAATGCCACCCGACAGCCTTTGCTTGTGCCCAGAGACGCAGGGCAAAACCTGCCAGCAAACTCCTCTGGTCACCGAGGAGAACCTGCACATCAGGCAGGATGCTGCCAGCTGCTGACACCCACTGTTCTTCCAGGCTATGGATGGCTGAGCTCTCCCTTCCCTAAATACACCCCGGGGCTGGGATGACACCATGGAACAGCCAGAAGCCTTGGCTGAGGCGCCATGGTCCCCTCTCCACCTCCAGACCACGCGAGGCTGGGATGGAACAAGGGCATCTGGGATGGTTGATGCCCAATTTAGTCTCCAGCAGCCCATAAAGATGCTGTGATGGGTCTTTTGCAAGAGGATGTGAACTCCCTTCTCAGCCTGGGTCATGGACACCCTCCTGAATCACAGCATTAGGAAGAAATTCTCTCCTATGAGGGTGGTGAGAGCTTGGCCCAGGTTGCCCAGAGAAGCTGTGGCTGCCCCATCCCTGGAGGGGTTCAAGGCCAGGCTGGATGGGGCTTGGAGCAACCTGGTCTGGTGGGAGGTGTCCCTGCCCAGGACAGGGGGTTGGAAATAGATGATCTTTAAGGTCCCTTCCAACTCTAACTATTCTAGGACTCTGTAAGGTGCCTTCCAACCCAAACCATTCTAGGACTCTGAGATGATTCCACCGTGGTGCTGATCCCGCATCCTTCCCCGCTTCCTCCGTCTGGGCTGAACCCCGCCGTGACTCAGCCCCGGCTCCGCCGCGGTTCCCCGGTGGGCAGGAGAAATCCCTCCTCGTGTTATCTAGATCCTAAAGCACTTGAGCAGACGGCGAATGTGCAAGCCATTATATCATTCACTCACTATCAAAAGCTCACACAGTGGCACTTAATTACAGCCCCGGAAGCGCAGGCTTCCTTAATAAATCAAAGAAATAAAGTCAGGGATGATGCACTGAACAGAGGGGGTGGGGTGGGGGGAATAAAGAGCTTACAGTTTCCCACTGTGTGTCCCCTTTAGATAACAGATGCTCTCTCCTTAACCTCTCACTTCATCAGATCAGCTCCAGCTGTGTTTGGATCAAGTGCGCAGCCTGGCCCTTGTCCAGCCCTGCCTGCTTCCCCGCTCCGGTGCCAGCTCCATCCCTCCGGCTCCGGGGCTGGCTGCGCAGGGGGTGGCAGGGAGGAGGGGAGCCCCCCCTCTCCCCCCCCAGAGCCAGGCCTCTTCCATTCAGCACATTTTACTCTCTTCCCGCATCCAACAACCCAAACCCCTTCATCAAAGCATCTCTGGGACTCTCACAGAAGGGTCCCGTCAGCACCCTGAGCCTGTCCCTGGCCGGGCTCCAGCCTGGGAGCTGGTGGTGTCACCAGAGGGATGCTCAGGGGATGCTTTCCCTTACAAACCCCGCCAGCATCCCACGCCGCCATCGACAGCCCGGAGACAACACTGTTAGTAAACAGCTTCCAAAGGCTGTGCTGATAGCTCCACGTCGGCTCGGCCATAAATCACAGGAGAAGCCCCCCCCCTGCCCCGGGGGGACACCCTCTGCTCCCTGCCTCGGCGCACACCACCCACCTCCCTGTTTATTTCTAAGTGTCACCTCCTCCCTCCCGCTGGCGCGCAGCCCGTCGCAGGAACGCCGTGACGAACGGGGCTGCAACAGCATCACATGGAGATCCCTCCCTGCAGAGCCCCAGGGATGAGCATCCTCCCCACGTCCGGAGCTGCTGTACCCCCACCCAGCACCCCCAGGCTCCGGGATGAATCCCCACGGGAGGGCAAGTAGTGATGGAGGGGCTTGGCAGAGCCCGGGTCCTCTTACCCGCCTGCAAACGTGTCTCGCAGCCCAAAGACCTCAGCAGAGATAAAACCTTTGAGAAATCCCCCCCGCTCCTAATCCCCCTCAATAGCACAAAAATAATGGAGCGTTATCTCATCAGGCCTTAGCCCAGTAATTACCCAGGGGATGGCTTAATAAGGAAGGGACACCCACCTGCCAAATACAGCCTAAGCCTGTCTCCTGTCCAGTTACACAACACCAGGCTGGGCACGGCGGCGTGTCCATCCTTCAGCCCCCTGGGACCAGCCCAGGGAGGGCAACGGGGGCAGGAGCAGCCCTGTCCCCAAACCGGGAGGTCTGGGGGAGCCCAGATGCCCCCAGCTCCCGAGTCCTTCCCCAGACCAGGGGCTGTCACTGCCCCAAACATCCATCCCGGACCCATTCACAAGGCAGCAAGCCCTGCCGGCAGGAAAAAAAAACCGTCTGCCCCCAGACTCTGTGAAGTGGCCCCAAAATCTCAGCGGGCGCCGTCCCCTCGCCAGCTCGGCTGATGCCGTGCCACCTCCTGCCCGCACCCCACATCCTTCCTGCCAGCCCTCCCCGGGCACAGCACCATCCTCCAGCAGTGACACCCAGAGAGCTGGGAGGGAGGAAGGCTTGGAGATGGGAGATGGGCTTTAAACCCCATCCCAGCAGCCGGACCTGAGGGTGGCGGGGGGATGTTTCCAGCCCATCCCGCAGGACAGACATCTCCTCGCCGTAATGGCCCAAATCACGAGCAGCATCAGCAAATCTTAGCCAGGGCTCGGAGCTGGACCACGTGCCCCGCTGGGTGAACGGAGCTGGAGCGTGAAAAGCGAGCCGGTGGGAGGAGAGGGCTTGGGTTACAGCTCGGAGCAGCCGCCGCGGGGACGGAGCGGGCTCCCACAGCTCCTGGCTGCTCCCCGGGCAGCGATATCTCCAGATCTTTTACAAATAAATATCATTGCTCATTATCTCGGCATTAAAGTTACATGCTGGGCGAGATGGGTACTGAGCTTTCTCTCGCTAATCTAAAACGGATGCCAGCGTTTCTATTATTAATCTGGTAGGTTCACGGGCTCCCTCCCCCTCTTCAGGCTCTGCCACCGTCACCCCCTGTCCCCACGGGAGGAGAGGGGATGGTGGAGCAGCAGGACAGACCCTCTGTGCTTGCTCACACGTGGCCTGAGTGAGCTATGCTGCTCCTGAGGGGGGGTAAAACCTCCTCCAACGCCGGGGCTGGGCATTTCCTGAGGTTTGATTTCGCTGAACCCATTTCCACGTGCCACCGCAGCAAAAATGAGTGAGCGGTGCTGGGGCAGAGATGGTTCCTCCTTCCATGACAGCACAGGACACGAGGACCCATGAAGCCAGGAGCATCTCAGGGGGGTTCATGTCAAGCCTTCAGCTCAAAAAGTCCAGTCCCTCCACACCAGCTAAGTGAGAGCTACCACCCCCAGGGAAAGTCTGTGTAAGAAACCTCCCTGCATGACCAAAACCAAGACCAAACCTCCTCAGTGCTTGTGTCTGCCCCAAACTAGAGCTGCTCAGGAGCATCCCGCTGTCCCCAGTGTCCCCATGTGCTGCAAGGACCTGTGCCTTGCAAGGAACCGAGTGGGTTTGACTCCCACACCCTGCCATACCCCGGGCTCCTGCTCTGAGCTCCTGTGGGGCAGAGACAGGCACTGCCCTGCTGTCCACACACACCAGCATCTCCAGCAGCCTCTTCCTCCAAAGCCAGGAGTCACTGAGTCACGGGGAGAGAGCTCCACAGCTCGTCCTCTCACTCCCTGCAGCCGGAGGAACCATGGGCACCATTTGCAATACGGGGCCCAGCATCATCACCAGCAGCTTCAGGGCAGGGATGGATGCCAGGGCCACCAGCCCACCCTGGGGTAAACGCAGTGCTTCCCACAGCCCAGCAGCAATCCATGCCATGTCTCATCTCCTCTGGGCTTTAATGGAGATGATGGGTATCACACTTAGATGTCAGCTTGCTCAGGGGAAGAGGAGAGCGGTGGAAGAGCCAAGCACCAAGGGTGAGACGAGCCCACCATGGAGCAGGGACAGTTTAGGAGATCCCCAGAAGATCTGCTCGTCCCCACTGTCTATAGCACCTGTCATCCCTAATGTCCAGTCAAGCCTCATTAGATGTACATCTGATATAGAGAAAGTCTCGAAAAATCCCCAAAGCCCCAATACAGAAAGTTTCCCCTCCCCAAATCACACACAGAGGGACCAGAGGCGAAACCAAAGCAGCTTCTCCCATCTCCCCAGGAGGAGCAGGCCAGCTCTGCAGGGGGTGGATGGGGTCAGTGCCCGGGGCATCTGCCCTGTCCCCACTCCAAGCACCACGAGATCATCCACCAGAGCCACGAGACAGCGAGGTGATGGCATCCCTCAGCATCACACCTCCCATCCCAGGCCGGCTGCCCTCCCTTCCTTCTCCTTTTTAGGAGAATAATGAAACTTTAGCCTTTTTTATCATCCAGACCAGACACCAACCAGGGCGTTGCTGCATCCTCCCCGGCTCCTAACCCCCCCTGCCCCATCACACCTTACCCGTGAGAGCCCCCAGCCGTGCCACCGTAGCCCCCGCAGCACCAGGGTGCCCAGTGCCAGGCACTCGCTCGCCAAGGGGGGGGACATTTGCCTGTGTCCCCTGACGTCACGCAGCCCACGCCGGGAAACAAACGTGGATTTCAACATCCTTTGGTTCATCAGCTGCTCATTTCAACATCCCCACGGCAAAGCCTCACCAAAAAAAATAAAAAAAGCACGCCCTGTCACTCCCTCGCAATCCTTTTTTTTCTGCGAACTTTCTCAAAGGCTTTACCCAGAAGAGCGTTTGTCACCTCCAAATAAATATTTATTAACCAAATTGCAGGTGTCTAGGGCTTCCCACCTCCTCTGCCTTCAGCTGCGCTGACACCAGAGCTCTGCTCAGCGCCCAGATGTCAGCTCCAACAGCTCCAGGAGTGTTTCTGGTGCCTCCTTTGAGCCTGGCATCCAAATAACTTCTCAAATCTTCCACTAACCTCAGAGGGAACAGCTCGGTTAAGAGACATCTCGGAGCAAGCGGATCCAGGAGGGGGTGATGGATGAAAAAGCCATGGTGGGAGGGAGCTCTCCTCAGGCTTTTTTTTCCCCTCTGTAAAGTCGTGGGCAGTCAGAAGGGAATGCAAAGTCCAAAGAGGCTTGACCCGCTTGGCAGAGAGGATGGGGATGAAGCCATTCTCCTGCCCAGCAACGCGCTGCCCGATTCCCAACCAAAGAAAAGTAAGAGCCACCGGCAGTGACAGCTCATCCCAGAGAAAGAGAGTTTCCTCACCCTGCCTTGGTACGGGATCAAGTGATGGGTTTGCCAGCCACCGTCCCCATCAGCTCAAAAAGTCCAGTCCCTCCACACCAGCTAAGTGAGAGCTACTACCCCCAGGGAAAGTCTGTGTAAGAAACCTCCCTGCATGACCAAAACCAAGACCAAACCTCCTCAGTGCTTGTGTCTGCCCCAAACTAGAGCTGCTCAGGAGCATCCCGCTGTCCCCAGTGTCCCCATGTGCTGCAAGGACCTGTGCCTTGCAAGGAACCGAGTGGGTTTGACTCCCACACCCTGCCGTACCCCAGGGTCCTGCTCTGAGCTCCTGTGGGGCAGAGCTGGACACTGCCCTGCTGTCCACACACACCAGCATCTCCAGCAGCCTCTTCCTCCAAAGCCAGGAGTCACTGAGTCACGGGGAGAGAGCTCCACAGCTCGTCCTCTCACTCCCTGCAGCCGGAGGAACCATGGGCACCATTTGCAATACGGGGCCCAGCATCATCACCAGCAGCTTCAGGGCAGGGATGGATGCCAGGGCCACCAGCCCACCCTGGGGTAAACGCAGTGCTTCCCACAGCCCAGCAGCAATCCATGCCATGTCTCATCTCCTCTGGGCTTTAATGGAGATGATGGGTATCACACTTAGATGTCAGCTTGCTCAGGGGAAGAGGAGAGCGGTGGAAGAGCCAAGCACCAAGGGTGAGACGAGCCCACCATGGAGCAGGGACAGTTTAGGAGATCCCCAGAAGATCTGCTCGTCCCCACTGTCTATAGCACCTGTCATCCCTAATGTCCAGTCAAGCCTCATTAGATGTACATCTGATATAGAGAAAGTCTCGAAAAATCCCCAAAGCCCCAATACAGAAAGTTTCCCCTCCCCAAATCACACACAGAGGGACCAGAGGCGAAACCAAAGCAGCTTCTCCCATCTCCCCAGGAGGAGCAGGCCAGCTCTGCAGGGGGTGGATGGGGTCAGTGCCCGGGGCATCTGCCCTGTCCCCACTCCAAGCACCACGAGATCATCCACCAGAGCCACGAGACAGCGAGGTGATGGCATCCCTCAGCATCACACCTCCCATCCCAGGCCGGCTGCCCTCCCTTCCTTCTCCTTTTTAGGAGAATAATGAAACTTTAGCCTTTTTTATCATCCAGACCAGACACCAACCAGGGCGTTGCTGCATCCTCCCCGGCTCCTAACCCCCCCTGCCCCATCACACCTTACCCGTGAGAGCCCCCAGCCGTGCCACCGTAGCCCCCGCAGCACCAGGGTGCCCAGTGCCAGGCACTCGCTCGCCAAGGGGGGGGACATTTGCCTGTGTCCCCTGACGTCACGCAGCCCACGCCGGGAAACAAACGTGGATTTCAACATCCTTTGGTTCATCAGCTGCTCATTTCAACATCCCCACGGCAAAGCCTCACCAAAAAAAATAAAAAAAGCACGCCCTGTCACTCCCTCGCAATCCTTTTTTTTCTGCGAACTTTCTCAAAGGCTTTACCCAGAAGAGCGTTTGTCACCTCCAAATAAATATTTATTAACCAAATTGCAGGTGTCTAGGGCTTCCCACCTCCTCTGCCTTCAGCTGCGCTGACACCAGAGCTCTGCTCAGCGCCCAGATGTCAGCTCCAACAGCTCCAGGAGTGTTTCTGGTGCCTCCTTTGAGCCTGGCATCCAAATAACTTCTCAAATCTTCCACTAACCTCAGAGGGAACAGCTCGGTTAAGAGACATCTCGGAGCAAGCGGATCCAGGAGGGGGTGATGGATGAAAAAGCCATGGTGGGAGGGAGCTCTCCTCAGGCTTTTTTTTCCCCTCTGTAAAGTCGTGGGCAGTCAGAAGGGAATGCAAAGTCCAAAGAGGCTTGACCCGCTTGGCAGAGAGGATGGGGATGAAGCCATTCTCCTGCCCAGCAACGCGCTGCCCGATTCCCAACCAGAGAAAAGTAAGAGCCACCGGCAGTGACAGTTCATCCCAGAGCCATGGTGGGATAGACTTGAAAAATACTCTTGAAAAGAGAGTTTCCTCACCCTGCCTTGGTACGGGATCAAGTGATGGGTTTGCCAGCCACCGTCCCCATCCCATCTCACCCTGGCAACACAGAAATGAAGGGAAAAACAGAAGAAAAAAAAGAGTCCAAACCAGACCAGCTGCAGCAGGGGGCAGTTTTGACTGTGGGAATGGAAACCTTCCCAACCCACATCCCTGGGCATCCCTGTGCCCCAGCTGATGGACAACGGGAGCCACAGGAAAAGGGAAAGCAGAGACTTAGTGCTTCCCCACACTGGGGGAGATGCTTAAAGAAAGGGCATAGGAGTCCCTGTCCCCTCTGGGGACAGCCCAAAGCCACCTCCCCTCCTTTGAGGCACAAGCAAAGGGATTTAGGCACCTCGGGGATGCTGCTGAGCTCCTCTCCAGCAGAGCCTCCCACCCAGGGTGATGATAAATCCGAGATTGGGAAATACTCAGAGGCTGCCACGGACACGGGGAACGTTTTAACAGCCTGGCCTCCCCCTCTCCATCCCTTGTCACCGCTGTCACCACGGCCCCTCTCTCCCTCCCTCCCTCCCTCCCACCCTTTTCGAATTAGCAGCCATCGACCTCCTCCCCCTGCGGAGCTGACATTAATCCGGCGATGTTTGTTTAACAACAGCTCCCATTGATCTGCAGCCTGATCCCCCAAGTCAATACGGGGCTTTCGCCAGGGTCTGGAGCTCAGGATCCGGCTCCGGAGTCGCCCCGTCAAGCTAAAAACGTCTGCGCGGGCTGATAGGATCAGATGCTGTCAGTGCTGCTCTGGGACCCATTAGCTTTAATTAGCTGATGATGCTGTAGAGGCCACATAAAACAATGAAGGGGATTGATCCCTCGTGTAACACTATTGACAGTGGAGCTGCATCTGGGATCAGTTTGGTGCCGGATGCATCTGTAGGGTCTATAAAACCAAGGCCTGTTTTCTTTTTCTATTCTTTTTTTTTTTTCTTTTCTTTTCGTTTCTTTAATTTTAAAATCCCATCACGGTAGGCCTGCCAGTTTAAAAGTAAGAGGGGAAAAAAAAAAAGAAGAAAAAAAGCCAAAAGTCAACTGCAGGGAACCCTCTCTGATTCCCCGTGATGATAAGTTGGGGCACATTTAACCACTTCCACCATCCCTCCCTGCTGAAGACCCTCGTGTGTTCTGCACACGCCCATCATTAAGGCACACGAGCCTGTTTCCAGGTCACTGTCACTGCCCTAAAAACAAGACACCAGCTTTCCCCACATCCTTTGCTCCGGGGGGCACCTCAGCCCCCGAACCACTTGCTTTCCACAGAGCTCCTTCCCTCTGCACGGTGTCACCATCACACCTGCACCGAGGGATTCCCCCACAAGGAACACGGTGCAACCACAGAAGGAACCCAAAAATATCGGGATGCTGCAGGGAGGATCCCCATATTTGTCTCCCTGGCTGCCACTGTCCGGCTGAGCATCTCCATGTGCCCCCACCTGCAGTGGGGATTTCCCGAGGGATGGAGATGCCAACAGCCAAATGCCTTTATGCCCTTACCTAGGAAGAAAATCCCAGAGATACAAACCCACAGGCATTACAAGTCACGGCTTTGGCACAGGGAGCACCTCTCCAAACACCTCCCAGCAGCATCCAGGAATCACACAGGTTTCAGCCCCCAAGCTCCCCTTTTTAACCCCCAGCACCACATCCCTACCATGTCGCAGCCTGGGGATGAAGGTTTTGCCAGCCCAGAAACAGGGCCAGGAGCCAAAAACTCCCCTGAGCTGGCAGGGATTCCCTGCAAAGCAGGCAAAGAGGAGGATTTTTCATCCCATCTCCCCCCCGCTGCCTCCCAGCAGGCACCAGAGCTGAGGACCACAGCAGAGCATCCCTGCCTGCGGAGGCCAGCCCATGGCGGGGGGTCCCTGGAGACATCTCTCCCCACCACCCCCACGGCAGCTAAAAAAACTCCCCCCAAACCTCTCCGAAAAAGGGAAAGCAGATAAAACTGAGCCCCGCAGGGGGAAGGCAGCTGGAAGGGGTGGTGGAGCAGGCAGGGCAGGCAGGACCAGCAGGCAGGAGGTAGGGGGGGGGAGCACATGCCAGCCACCCGGCTCTGCCGGCTGACACCCTGGCGTAACACTTTCCAGATGTGGCCGCAGGAAGACAGAAGCAGAGCTGTTCCCTGCTGAGGAAGCTGGAAACGGTCGGAGATAATGTGGAATTCCTGAACGGGAGCCAGCGGCGGCCGGGGCCGGGGCGCAGGGACAGCCCGGGAGAGGCAGAGCGCTGGGGCCGATACAA